TATGAAGTCCCATAGGCTTGGATTCACCTGAGTTACAAGGGCTAGCTCAACCCATCATGTCACATGGATAGATTCTTAAATTATGGTTGGACGCAACCACCACCTGAGGGAAATAAAGGTGGCAAAGCTTATGGAGAATTCTTGAACTCAATTCATGTACCACTTGGGCTTGGGCAGGTCAAACATATAATGTGTCTTAGTTTTGGCATTTTGGGTGTCATTGAGCTAGCTCAAATGAGATAAATCATGTTAACCCAAAGGTTGGGCTAACCAAGATTGATACCATGCAGCATAGGAAACACAAAGAAGTGTTAACTTGGGTCAATTGGATCTAGTTTAAAGTTTGTTCAATGTAAGGTCATTTTTACCATTTTTGTTAAATCAAGTGGTTAACCTAGTGGACTAAAGGCATGGGTTACCTTGGGTTAGATCCTAAGCATTCTATGGATAGCCCTATAGATTCAAATGGAATTAATCAAGCCTTGGTTAATGGATTTACAAAGAGTTTCAATGTATGCAAGCTTGGTCAACCTTGGTTATTGGTTAAGCAAGTTGACTCATTGGTCGGGTTTGGTTCATCACATTCCAAATGATGTGTTTAAAACTTTGGAGGAGGTTTCAAGTATTAGGAAAGCTTACATGTATGAGATGCATGTTAAAACCCTTAAATATTCATTTGGCCAACTTACGTTGACTTGTTTAACTAGGTGAACCTATGGGCTAAGGTTGGGCTCAACCCATTTTAAATGATATGTTGAACACATTGGAAAGGATTTCATGTAATGGTAAGGTTTATATATATGAAATATGGCTTTAGGGTTCAACGGTTCCATATGTTCAACCTAGGTTGACTTGGTAAACTAAGATTGATCATGGCTTGAGCTAGTGTTTAATGCATGGCAAATGCTATTTTGAAAATATTTGGAGAAGGATGGATGGCAATCCTAAGGTTTAAGGAAAATTCAATTTCCAAGGTTTAGTATTTTAGGGTTTTGTGGCCAACCATGGTAAACCAAGGTCCAATGTAGGTTTAATGTATCATGCCAATGTTGATTAGCATGATCAATGAGTTTGGAGAGGCCTCCAAGGTTAAAATCACAAGTTGTCATGTTCAGTTGCATAGGCTCTAAATATTTTACAATTTTGTATCCTATGGAAATACTTTGGGTTTTAAGGGTTTGGGGTCATAAAATTCCTTTAAATTGATGTGGTTGACCCTAGAGATAAGAAAAATCAATATGCAAGTGAGCTCAAGAATCTAAGGTTATTTGTTCATGTTTCAAGACAAAGTAAATTTGTCCAAAAATAGGTTATGGATCAAGGGGTTTTAGGTTTGGTTCTGACACTGAATTCTAGAGTTTGGAATTGATCAATGAGTTTAGTCACTATATTGGATTTAGATTTGATTTAGTTAATGATTTGGGATTATTTAAGGTATTAAATACTCAAATCATTGATAATCATTACTAATCATTAGTGATTGAATAGGTAATTAGCTGACTATCAATGGATACTATCAAATAATGGATTTAGGGCTAGATATTGATTTAGATTTTGAAGAGATCAATGTAGATCAATTATTGTGAAATTTTTATTCTTTAGAATGATCAAACCACTAACAATCAAGGGTGATTTGCAAGTGGTATATTAGATCATCAATTGACAGTCAAGGTTTATTGTCAAGAGATGGTTTCAAGGGTCAATGATGAATTCAACAAGAAAAACATGGTGATAAGTTAGATTTAGGATTTGAAATGTGTTTTAATGATTTTAGTTTAATAATGTGTGTTTATTATGGAGATATTTTACCTCATTCAAAAATGGGTTCAATACATATCATTAGAGCAGGGCTCCTTCGACAACTTTCGTTAAGCAATTGCCTTCCCCAATAGAGGAAACCTCATAAGTTCCTCTCTACGTCAAAGAAATCCTTATTTATCTCAACCAAAATTATGTCTCCCCCATGAGATATACAACAAAAATTAACTAAACATAGACATCTCTCCTAGAAGACTTCCCTTATGATAGTAATCACCAATCTCAAAGATCAATGTCAAATCATCACTGACCCCCCTCTCGTTCGAGTGAATGAGCTCATATAGGCTTTCTACCTCATGCCAATAATATCTTTAGACACTCACAGGTACACCTCACCCTTATCAGCTCCTACAAGATCGACACTGCTGCTAGTAGAGCAATATTAAAGACATAGTATAACTATTGTAATTCATGCACATTTTACTATAACCCTTCAAGCCCTATAAATAGATGGAAGGTGATATAGAAAAGAGGAGGATACAAGATGATAAGAGAAGGATAATAAATGACACCACAAAAATATTGAGAGAGAGAGAGAGATAGGGTGATGTTTTTTCTTTGATAATTTACCATATGCTATGTAGAATAGAGCTTTCATTCCCTTTCATTATATTATTTTTGGCTGAATTAATAAAGATCTTGTCCAAATCCACTCTTTATCTTCTTCCTTTTCTATTTTATCTTCATCATCCTAGCAGTCATGTCCTCATGCTTATCAATTGGTATCATTCACTAGAAGAATAAGGATTCAATAATCATGTTAATGTTAAACCAATACAATATAAAATCACATATTTTTTGGTTGGGTACATCAACTAATATAAGTAAATTTTTTGTAATGATGCATGTTTTTAATTTCTCCTAAATTTACGTTGAAGTTTTGACTTATTATAGAAGAAAGAGAACTTTATGGTTGGTTTTAAAACTATGGCACTGAAGTTTCAATCCAACATTATCCTTAGATTTAACTAATTGAAGCAATACATACTATAGTATTCTAGATAAAAAATATGTTATGGAAATAGTCAAGATGCAATAGCCACATTTTATCCTAATCAAAAAGTTCAAAAGTACTTAATATTTGGATTTGATTTGCATCATAATGTTAGGTAATGTGATAATAATAATTCATCTCTAAAACCAAAATGGAGGTCTACTAAGGGTTTTGAATGGATCTATCAATTTTTATTGAGTCTTATAAAAATAATTTTTTTTTTTGCTAGAATTTTTGTATCATAATGGGGTGCATTATTAAGTGTAAATTTTATACTATTTTCTAAGTTAAAATTTACTAAAATATTTTATTTTAGTTATGTTTGTGTATAAACTATTTAGGAAAATGAAAAAAAAAATCATAAGTATTGAAGGAATAGGACAATGCCAAAATTTTCTGTGCCACAATATTGGTATCTACAGAATCATAGCGCCTAATTCAGACATTACAACATTGGCTACTTTAAAATTTTGGGAATATCAGCACCGAGCTGAAACCAAGGTTAGCTCCAAAGCAAAACCACAGCCTTGTTGCACCATAATTTAGCACTGCAGCATTGGAGCCTCACCAATTTGAATGTCTGAGCAACAATCATCATTATATCATGGTGCCAGAGTATAGTTTCAAGAACCATAGTGTTAAAATTTTAGAAATGCCACGGTGAAGCAATTGAAAAAATGAGGATCCACACTAACTCTAACAAAATATACACTTGTTCAACAAGTAACTATGCTAGGTCATCCCAACATCACAACGAAGCATATATTATAGCGTTGAGGTGCTAATTCAATTAACAACATCGTGGTGCAAGCTTGTTGAGCTCCATAGGACATGAGTCCATTTCTACACTTGTATAAATAGTTTTTTAGTTATTTTATTTAAAATGCTCTATCAGTTTCGTGGAGTGTTATACTTTATAGTGTCTTCTTCTAATTACTCCTTAGAGTAAAATTTAAGGGAGTTTAAGGAATTGTAATATACGGTCATTTTGGTGATCGTAGCCTCTATTTTATAAGCAATTCTATTATGTAAAGAAGAATGAGCCTGCAAAATATTTATTAATCCTTCTGTGTGACATTTATCTTATTCTTTCTTTTGTACCTTTTTTCTTATGAATGAAATAAACATGACTTTGCTTCCTTTTTTATCCATGTCTGGAAAATTCTTGAAGTTTTAGGCTAATGATTTAAATATATAGTGACTTTTGTGCTTTAAATTATTTCATAGATGTTTTCAATATATCTTATTCTTTTTGAAATGCACATAATAGTCATGTATGTAGTCTATATCTAGTATGATGTATAGCCTCAATGAAGAAATAAAGGAATAAATATGATTATTGAAATGGAATGTTGGCATACCTAGACATAAAATGTTTTACCTTAAACCTCTCTTTTCACCCCTACAAGCTTGATAGCATTCTAGGGATGCATATGATCTAATTCACATCTAAAATAAAGAGTCTCATTTGGAAAACTATATTGTCTTGCATTCATTAGTCAAAAAATTTTTTATTTCCAATAGTATCAAATTTTCTTGTGAGTCTTGATTTTGTAGAAAAATAAAACATAAAAACATCCATTTTTATATTAAGTAGAATAAAATTTGCATTTAAATTAAATAATAATAGTTTATTTGTAATTAAGTTGAACATTTTGTTGTGGGATCAAAATTCTTCTCTATCATGTTTTTACTTGATTTGACACATATATTTACATATTTTGCTGGCTTTTATAAATTTTATATCAAAGAAAATCTATGCATAAATCAAAATCAAAATAAAAAAGTAATTCACATAGAGACCATTCATCAAGTTTTTGGCATCATTATTGGGGAAGTACCTTGCATACTAAAATTCTTACTAATTATTGAATCCTACTTGAATCTTGTATCTTTATTTTTGCTATGGTAAAAAATTAAAAAAATATAAAAAAAATAAAAAAGAATTTTATTGATTATTTAGTTCATAATTTTAATTTTTAGTTTTTTTATCATTGTTGATTGCTTAGTAAAACTAGTAAGGATCCCTTATTATTTGATTCTAGATAAAAATAACTCTTACCAAAATTCAATATATATATAGTAGTTCGACAAACATTAATCTTCCCCTGAGATAAAAATTAAATTATATTATTTTAAGCTGCATGTGATTTTGTTCCTCCCTAGACTAAAACAAGTCTTACTTTAGGTCCAACCTGACACGAATATTGTCGGGTTGCCCGGCAGCTGCCTCTTGCTCACTTTGTAACCAACTAAATTATCTCAATTGCTTAACATCTGGACTATTGCTTCTGAAGTAAAGGTAAGGTGTGTTTGAAATAGGGCAGTTACTTTGATGAATTCTTCCGTTGAATAAAGAAGAGTTAGCTTTGAGTACTCAATTCTGCTGGCTTTTCAGGTAAGCATACGTTAATGGATTGAATTTTTGGCCCATGCTCATTTTTTAAAAATTTTAAATATTGTTTTATCCATCTCGTTGAATATTAATATATCTAAAAGTATTTTATGTCAAAAAATGTTAAATAAACTAGCTGATGAGCTGATGAGCTGATGAGTGACTGACTCGAAGTCGACTTATTAACTCATCAAGTTAAGATAACGAGTTATTTATGCAGTTGAGCTTAAGAAGCTCACAAATATATTTAACTCATGACAGCCGTAATCCTTGTGTTAAATGCACAACATCCTTCCTTTTTCAATATTATGAATATCCATCCCATTTCAATATTTATTTGCAGTTGAAACTGTTTGGAAAGAATTTGACGCCTTGTTTGACAGTTATGTTGTACTTAGTTGTTCATATTGAACCATCTGCTAAGTCTACCAATTCCACAACTTCTCAAATTAGGTATGAGAACCTTGCTTTTTGGTGTAACCCCTCCCCTAGTGCAGCTCTGGTTTACCTTTTTAATGCATCCTTCCGAACTAAACTTCAGTAGGTAAGCTCTCAATTGTTTTGATTTGATTTAAAATATTAATTATTATAAGAAAAAAAAAAAGAATAAAATTTATATCCGAATATTTCAATACAAATTATCTTAGAACCAACAAAAAATTAATGAATTTGCTAAGGGATTAACTATGTAAAAAAAGAGAGAATCCCAATTTCTTAAATTTTGTCTCGTTCCACACTTTTGGCAGCACTCATGGCTGCAGCGCCGGCGGTAGGCTCTTTTGCTCGCTGGATTCCTCTTGGATTGTCTTCTTCTTCCTCCCGAAACCTAGATGTCTCTAAATTTAGGCAAGGTGGTGGTATCTCTCAATAGAAATATGTCTCAAATGCTCCACTGGTAATTAAATAACCTTTGTCTCATATTTTGAAATCGTTGTCCCCGGTTGCAGGCAAAGGCAAGAGCATTGAAATGGATAATGGTTTGCCGCCTCATTATACTCCTACTTATGGAGGTAAGATGCGTGTAGATAGACCTAATGATTTTGAAGCTTCTTCTTCCTCAGGAATGAAGTTTTTTGTGAATAGTTTGGTAATATTATTTACAAATCTTATATGGTGTATGTTGAGGTTTTGCCTGTGAAAGTTAATTGTGATAAGGTTTCAGCCAATTGTTTTAATTTCAAGAAAGGTATATTGATTCAGTAACTAATGTTAAACTGGTGGATGAGGGTATAGCAGTGAAGGGAAATGCAAATACGTCTAATAAGGTTCCTTTGAAAGCTTTGGCTAGACTCCCGAATATAAATATTCAATGCTCTAATATTGAATATTTCCTTTCAGATGTTGGAAAATCAGTCAAGATACATAAGCCTAGTGTAGCAGCCAATTATAAAAAATTAAAACTTTCAGTTGTTGTTAATGTTTTGGGAAATTTTTCCTAGTTCAGGTGATTGCTGTGGAGCTACGTCGACAATGGGCCAAATTTGAAAAGTTCCACCTTACTATGCTTGGAGGAGGTTGGATATTATGCTCATTTTTTTCAGTGGAATCTATGGAGAATGTGTTATCATGTGGCCCTTAATATGTAAATTGCCACATTGTTGGTATTGATAAGTGCACGCCAAATTTCTCACCTACATCAATGAAGGGGTTGTCATCTCCAATTTAGGTTAGAATGCCTCGTATCTCTTTGCATTGTTGGGATGAGATTAATGTAGCTAGAATTGCTTCTGTAAAGACCATTTTGCTCCCAGGTTCGTCCGGATGAAATTGGATCATCCGGGACGATCGGTATAGGTTGTGCAGGAAAACATGTTTGGCTGCATGGTTCGTCTGGACGAAAGTCGGATCGTCTGGACGAAAATCGTCCCGTGAGCAGATCGTACGGGACGATAATTAATTTCGTTTGGACGAAATTTGTCCAGAGCCCAAGTCGTTCGTGACGATAATTAATTTCGTTTGGACGAAATTCGTCCAGAGCCAATTCGTCCCGGGACGAAGTTGCGATCGTCCGGGACGATCAATTTTGATATATATAGAAATAAGATGTTTTGGAACGAAAAGGACGTCCAGGAGAGAGAAAAATGAAGGAAAAGAAGGAAAAGAGGATTTTTGGGCGACTCCGGTCTGTTTTCGTCCGTTGTTGTAGTTAGAGAAGTTGACCGACTCGAGGTAAGGCACATTCCGTCTTTCTCAATTTTCAGAAACGAGAGTTTTGACGCATTTTCTGTTCCGGATTTTGTTTCCGTTAGCGAATTTCTGGTATTATTTTCTTTTGACGAAAGTTTTATCGCGTAACTTTTGGTATGTCTCTGAGATGATAATTATGCACGTTTTGAGTATTTTCTGAAAGATTTTTACCGGATATTTTGGATTCTGCGGTGTTTTGATTGAACTGCAAATTATCAGGATGTTGAAAAATATTTTGTCAATACAATGAAAGTCTTACAATGTTGTTGTGAATGTTCTGTGGTAATTTGGTAAATTTTTGAATCTGTGAATTGTGTAAATTCCGTATACTGCCGTTATGTCGCTGAATTTTCGTACGATTTCTAAATTTTCTGAAATAAGATGATTTGAATATTTGATGTGTTTGTGCTATCAGAAGGGAGTTATAAGGGGCCAGAATCCTATGTAATTTCCGTTGTCTGGATCATGGAATTCTAAAATCTGAAATGAGCTCTGAAATCTGAAAATAAGTTCTGTTCTGTAACATCTGATATCTGTTCTATTCTGGTGCTACAAGCACAATGGGAGACATAAGGGGCCAGAATCCGTTGAGATTCTGTCTATGTCAGGGAAGGGAGGCATAAGGGGCCAGAATCCGTTGAGATTCTGTCTGTGTCAGGGATATCTGAAATCTGATGTTATCTGAAATCTTTTGTTTGATATTTGACAATCTCTTCTGTAACTTATCTGATCTGTTTTATGAATTATCTGAATATGTTCTGTGAATTATTTGATTTCTGATTTCTGTACGACTCTGATTATTCTGTATGATTCTGTCTGCTCTGTGATTTGAAAGCTTGATGATATTTGTTCTGAACTCCGATTGATATGACTTCAGTCTTTCATATCCGATGTTTGATTTCTGATTGAGCTATTATCTGTTCTGTCTGTAATACTATTTCTGTAAGATTGTTCGTATTCGGTACGGATACTTTTCTGATGTATTTTTTGATGTGGATTTCTGAGGATTTTGATTGGTGAGTGATGTCTTGCTGAGCTGTTAGCTCATCCTTGTTTTCTGCGTGGTTTTCAGGTTCTGGGAAAGGGAAGGAGATCTTGGACTAGACGTTCTAAGTATGATCTGTGATTAGGTACATGATACTTTTGATTTTTGTACAGTCATGGTTTTTCTGTTCTGTTATGTTCTTTCTGTCTGTAGCCATGCACTGTATCTGTATATGATTATTTTAATGAAAGAAAAGATAGATGAACTGCGCTGTGTTTGTATGTTTATAGTAGCTCTGTGTTTTTCTGTCTGTGTTATATTTGGAAGAAAGTTCTGAAGCAAATTCCAAAGTCAGATCCTGGATTTGTTGGCTGTGTCGCGACCCGATGCGAGCGGGATCCGTCTCGGTCGGGTTGGGTCGTGACAGCTTCTTTGTTAGGAACTCCCCTATTAATTGATAGCAATATGTTTCAATGGAGAAGAAGAGAGTTTGCTAGAGTATGTGTTCGGGTCGCAGTAGATAAACAACTTCCTTTGGGAAGTTGGGTGGAATATTCATCTGGACATTTTTTTTTCAAAAATTTGAATACGAGAAGATCTTTACATTTTGTTTAAAATGTGGAAAAAATGGTCATTTAATTAATGAATGTAATTTGAAGGACAGTTGCTAGTGATAGTGAAACAACTAGGTCTAATAGGGAAGATAGGAACCTTAATAAAGCTTTGTCAGATGTAATGGAGACTGGTTCTACTTATGGACCTTGGATACATGTGAATCATGGGAGGAAAAAAAAAGACATTTTATAGCTATTAACAGAAGAAATCAGAGTAAAGTTTGGTGGGGCAAGAAAGATATTATTGTTAAAGGGATTGTTGATGTATTTAGAAATTCACATCATGACTTTGATGTGATTGACAATCAGCATTCTTCAATTGCTGATGTAATGAAACTTGACGTGCCTGTAATATTCGAAGGTGTGGATTTACATGGACTATTCATGATGAAGTTGTTGCTGATCAAGTAGACCTGAAATTGAAGAATACAAGTTCAGGATTTGATAAAAATCTGGTGTATCTGAAAAATTCTGTGGAATTGAATGGTGTTGCTCTCTATGAAGATGTTGCTGATAAACTCAACTTGGAAATGAAGAATTAGTTGCTAAATTGCATCCAAAATCTGGATTAGAAACTATTCCTTGTTCAAAAAATTATTTAATGTGTTGAGTGGAAGATGGTGTGATACAACTGAGGAGGGGGAAATTGTAGTTCATAATCCAGAATTGATGTCTAATTTGGACACTAAGCAGGAGTTATTGACCAATGATTGTTCTGTTGTTGATGATACTCCAACAGGTGGCAAAGTTAAACTTCAGAAGGAGCTGAAATCACTTGGACCTGTCAATATTCTTCCTCGTGTTAGGAGGAATGAAGCGTTCAAGAAAGTAAGGGGTGGGGGCCCTTCCCCTAACATTTCCTAATGACGTCTATTACGTTTTGGAATTGTAGAGGGGCAGATAAAAAGGAATCCTCTCTATATTTAAAAGATTTTGTAAATGATTTTGATGTGTTATTTGTTGGGCTTGTGGAAACAAAATATGCTTCTATTGATCGGATGGAAATCAATAGGTTCATGGAGTGGATTGGGATTATTTTTTATTTCCTTATGATGGCATGTTTTGTGGAATTATGGTGCTCTGGAGATCTTATTGGGCTTCGTTTCATGTTAAGATGGCTAATACTCAAGTTATTAGTGGTGATTTAAATGTAATTAATAAAGGTCCCTTGAAAATTTCTACTAGTAGAGATGTGTATAAAAGGAGAGATTTGTGGAATTTTTTGGAATCGGCTTGTTCTATTGATCTTCCTTCATTGATTAGATCAAGGGGCTTCAATTGTTAATTGTCTCAAGAAGATAAAAGGGGTGGTAAGAAGTTTGTTTCTTCTTAAGGGCTTAAGGAGATGAATATGTTTATGAATGATAATGACTTTCATGAGGTTGGATTTGTGGGACATAAATTTACTTGGTGTAGCAATAAGATTGGAAGTGCTCGTATTTTGGAGAGGCTAGACCGGTGTTTGTTGGCCTTACAGTTTACAGCTATTGAGCATCTTCTGAGAGTGGCATCTGACCACTATCCAATTATGATGGAGGTGTTCAAATCTATTTGTTGATAGAAAAGAAGGCTACTATTTGAAGATGTTTGGATTTCCTATCATGCCTCTACTAGTATTGGTGCTAAATTATGGAATAGATTGGTTAAAGGTAATTCTGTCTAGATTCTAAATAAAAACTTTAGTAGAACTTTAAGAGCTTTATTCTTTTGTAGTAAAGCTAAGTTACAAAACCTATCTTTTTTGAAAAATGATTTTAAAAAAGAAAGTTTGGAGGAATATGAAGGTTGGTCATCAGAAGAAAGGTTGTGGTTATTAAGGGAAAAGGTTCATGAGTTGAATGTCTCTTTCGCTCATTTGAATACTTGGTGGACACAAAGAGCTAAAGCTAAATGGGTGATAGATGGTGATTCCAACACAAAGTTTTTTCACTCATATGCTACGGCTAGAAGGAATACTAACTGGATCAAACAAATTAAACATGGAAATGGAGTTGTTATTGAAGATCAAAAGTTAATAGAAGGATTTTTCTTTGATTTTTCCAAGGAAAAGTGGATAGAGAGGAGATGTGTGCTTCAAGGATGGTCGGATTCTTTATATTCTCTTGGAGATATTGATAGATCAATTTTAGATAGGGACTTCTCTCAAGATGAGCTTCAATTGGTAGTGGATCAGCTTGGGAGTAACATTGCTCCTGGTATTGATGGAATTACTTTCTCATTTATCAAATCATATTGGAGTACCATTAGTATGGATGTTTCGAGAGCTATTAATCATTTTTTTTTCTTCAGACAAAATGCCTCCTACTTGGAAAGAAACTCTTATAGTGCTCATTCCTAAAGTTTCTAATCCATTTTTCCTTATAACAATAGAACAATTAGT